AGAAGAAATGGTCGCGGTATTGGCAGCAGTAGTTGTAACCGTATCGTAACGCAGTCGGAGTCGGAGTTGGAGGAGGTATAGAAATATGAGGAGTGGGATGAGCAAAAGGAGTCCGAGTAGGAGTATGAGGTGCTACTAGTAGAAGTAATAGGGGAAGCAGAAGGAGTAAGTAGGAGTAGTAGAAGCCATGTAGGAGAAGTTAAGGAGAGTAGGAAGAATAGCTGTTGTTGCTTTAGCAAGCAGCAGCAGTAGTTTCCATTCGCAAAGTTACTCTTCATATGGTCCCCTACCCGGCCCCACGCTGCAGCAAGGGCACCGGCTGGGCTGGGATTCTCTCTGGCTGCGATGGCACAGCTTCCGAGCAGCATGCGAGTTTCATGCGCGTTCGGGGCGAGGACGCCCCGAATCTCTAGGACTCAATGCTGGCAGAAAATGAGCTGCGAGAAGTGATTCGGGTTTAGGGTTTGGGGTTTAGGGTTTAGGGGTTTAGGGGAGGTGCCAGGTTAGAGCAAGAAGCTCGCGAATTGGGACCTAAAGACCTACAGTGGTTCGACTCTCAGCAGGGGTGGGATGCTGTTCCTACGCACTCCAAGTTCCCTCCCTATCTGCCTCGCTGTCCTTGAGTGGACTATGCATCATTGGGTTTGTGACACGGGCCTTGTGTCTTCTTCTCAGTGGCCCTGCCATTGCCCGACGGGCTTTTGCTCTCATCTTTTGGTGGTAGAGCTCTCCCACCTTCTTCCACTCCCTGCTTGGCGGTGCCTAACAGTAACATCGGTGGCGCTGGGGTAACGACCGCTTGGTGCAACGACCAGCATGTTGAACCTTTGATTTCGGCCTTGCCCACTTTTGGGAAGGTGTCTTGGAGCCTAAGAGTAATATCCGTGGCTCAGGGAATCCCTCCTGGATCCTCCTTTCAAGGGCTATGCTTTCTACCTTGCCTTGGCCTTTTCATTCCGGTTCTGCCCTTGGAGTTCTGTTGCGGAAGCTTTTGAATGCCGCGCGTTGCTTTGAGCCTCAAGCTTCCCTTTCTCATGTCGTTGTGCGGTGTTGGTCGGAGCTCCACTTTTCTCGGTCGTATGGGTTCCGCGTGCTGAGTTATTGCGCGGTCCCCTTCGCCGCCCTGCTCTGCTGGTGGACTTCGCCTTGCAGGCGGAAGGGTTGGAGCCGGCGGAAGGCGGCGCGCAACAAAGCCCGAAGCATATCGAAGCCCACGGACGTTACCTTCGGTTATGCCTGTTTAAGATGTGTTTTCCTCTACCTGAACAAGATCTAAGATGCGTTTTCTTCTGTTAGTGATTCTTTGCTATTGCAGCATTAGCTCTCTCCTTGTGAAGCATTATGACAGCAACAAGTAGTGGAAGGCAGATCGAATGCCTAAGATCAGTTACGTTCTATATGGAAGTTGACCTATTAACATGCGTGTGCTATGAGAAATATAGGAAAACTTTCTAAGTTTAGTACATGAAAATGCATATGTTGCTGTATAGCATTTAGCTAAGCTCGTAGTATTGTCAATTTAAAACAAATTGGCTAAATATACCCTGAAGGTGTAGGGCTCGGATATAAATATACAAACACACATATACTTATGTATACCATACATATAGATAAGTAGTCTGCTTATACATATATATGTATGCACGTACTTATGGTCTGGATGTCGATGTACGTCGAATACCACACAAGGTGCCAAAGCCAGTGTGTCTGCCCAAGCAGCGGAAGTCTAACCACCGCAGACTACAGTCAAACCGCACAACAAAAACAGACCTCGGGAAAGGAGCACAATGTCCACTCGCAACGCACCGGGGCATGCTACGACGAATGCGACTCCTGATTAGTTTTTAATCATTAGTAAGTATTAACACCAAATAGCTATTGTTACTAGTAACTTCATATCAACTATTAGTTACTTGTTGACTGATTGCTTATTACTGTTGTCCGTAGCATTCGTCATTCTAGCATTCCATCATGTTTTTTGCTGCAGTTGGCACAGATTACCGGTGACTGTACCATGCCATCGTAGTTCTGCTCAGGTCTCGGCGTGATGCTTAATCAAGTCTCGAACCTGACAATCCCAACCGAGCACTCATAAAATATGCCAAACTTGACGAAGTTGTACCTGCATCGTCTCTACCTTGCAGTATCCCATTTCGACATCATTATCTCCGCACTTCACGCCGAGACACGGCTGCGTGGTTCATATCTCAGAACGTTGGAAAGCTGCGGCAAGGTCGCAGCAACCACACCAAGCACAGCACCAGTGGCACTTGGAGGTTCATGGATAGTTAGAAGTGGGGTTATGAGTAGGGTAACCATAACTATAACCCGTATTAGGGGACTTGAAACCCCTCTTATAAATACCCATGAACCTTCACTTGAAGGCCACATCCTGGACCTTAGAGGGACACCGGCAATCGCCATGCCGTGCGGATTGCCACTGGAGAAGCAGAAGGGAGTTTCCGAAAAAAGGGGACCCCAATGTACTACCCTGAAAAGTAGGATCCTCATTGTAAGGACCTCAAAATAAGGTGCCTCTAAATTCCGAAAACTCCCAGAAAGGTGTGCGACGGAAGCAGGTCCTGTCGAAGTGTGCCTTGTCCTGTCTTAGCGTGGTGCGCTATCATGGTGAAAATCTAAACCATGATGAAAGCGAAACCCGTCGCTGTCGTCTTTGGATCTTGAACTGTGACGATGGCTCAGACTAAGACTATATCCCCATCACTATGAATCTGACTAATTAAGAACTTCCAAGAACATTAACTGATGGCTGGTCATGAAAAAATACCTCTGCGACTTGTAAGGACTACAACTTCTGCTAAAACTTATGCTGTAGCTTATAATAACTTATAACACATATTTCCAGATCTCATAACTTTATAACTTTGATGTTGCCCACGACAGTTGCAAGCATAGACAGCGTACATGTTGCGTGTCATGTTTTGATGACTCTTGGCCACAGGTCCGGTGGAGCTTCCCTCACCCTAAACCCTAAACCCTCTTCACTCAACTACTCGCCCACTGGGTCGGCGAGGCGCTGGTACTTGGAGGATCATGGGACGTAGTAGTTCCTTTAAGGGTACTATAGGGTTCTATCATCGGGCTCCGAGAAGGGATCCAAAAAGGGTACAATAGTGCAGGATCATGGGACAAAGAAAGGTTATAAGTACTTAATTGGGGCTACAAGCATAGTTACTCTATTTATAACCCTAGTTACTAAGTCCCATGATCCTCTAAGTATGATATAAGTACGGGGACGGTATTTATCCGACCCCAAATGTTATCCTTCCGACTGCAAGAGAGCCCTGAACTGTGAGCAATCCCAACATATGACAAAATCACGACAAGTAAATCCGAACAACACGATGGGAGAAAGAGAAAACCAGACCCACAGTTAGAGATACAAAGTGAGAATGAAAAGCAGACCAAGATATAGGCACGTTGAGAAACAAACAGACAGAGAAACAGATAGAGAGACAGAGAGACAAGACAAAGGGACAGCCAAACAGAGTCGGAGACAAGCAAAAACTTCGTCTTGATCCATCGAGGATGGCTGCATACAACAGCCAAGTTTCAACATCACCGGTCAAAAAAAAAACAAACCCACCTACAAACCCACGTCCAAAGACAAGGTGTTGCAGGCCAGAATATTGAAACATGACTTACTGAGAGGTCTCGCCTCATGTGCCACAAACGGCAGCTTATACATATCAAAAGAAGCTGACAAACGCATCAACACTCAGCAATGTTCGGTCAGGACCTCTATCTCCATCAGATTTCCACGGAAGCTGCACAACAGTTGCACTGCCTGCTCTTCGTCGCGAAGAACTCGCGATGTGCTCATGTACAGCGGGACATTACCTACTCCTTCGAATGGCATCTTCTCAGGACATTCAGTCACCTTCACGAGTCAACAGCCAACAACCAAGCAACAATACATAGAAAGAGCCTAAGCCATTCGAGGGCGATCCTGCTGTATGCGTGACGTCTCTCTGAGATTAGCATGCGAATCCAATTCCAACCCTTCCCCCCCCCTAACAGCCAAAACTGCCAACAAAAAGTCAGCGACACCCCCAATCACTGAGAGATGTCAATTGTGGCGCCAGTCGGTTCGTACGTCTCTTCGCTTCTTTAGGCCCAAGCTTCGAATCACATGCCGAAAGCATTGGGAAAGGTCACTCACCCCTCAGCCAGCTTGGCAATGACCAGTGCAACATCTGCTGTGTTTGGATTGTAGTTGGCATGTCAACTTTTGTTTGGGTCCTTGGGAGCTCTGTTGTGGATGCCGCCCGCATTGGCTGACGCCGACAGAATCTGAAAAGTGGTTTCAGTAAACTGGTCGAGACTGACATGAAGTCTGGTAGTGATTGAGAGTTTAAGGCATTTGGTCCAAGTTTCACGATGCACTTAACTGTATGTAACCGGCCATGCCACTGTGTCTGGCAGGGATTTCAGACTTCACGTTCTTCACGTCTTCGTTCTTGAATGCGCAGTTCCCGACAGGTGCAAGTAGTATCAATACCCTGTTCTCTTACAGTGTCGCCATGATCTACAACATCTTGACACCAGCTGGGAAGGGCCAACATGCTAGGAAAATCGATTTCTCGACATTGCTGTGGCTGTGTGCACTGTGGCCTGAGAACAAAAGCTCAGTAAGGTACCCCTAATTTGCGAAAACTCCCAAAGGTACCTCGCGCCTTAGATAAGCGGGACAAAGCCTGCCAACTTTCTGATTCTGGGGGCGTCCTAGAGTATACTGGGCGTGCTCCGGGAGTACTTAGATGTACTTCGCATTACCTAGCGTGCTCCGACTTCCTTTCCAAGCCCTCTTATTTGGAGGATCATGGGACTTAGTAAGTAGGCTTAAGTACCTTGATCGGGGCTATAAGTACAGTTACCCAAATTACAACCCTAGTTACTAAGTCCCATGATCCTTGAAATGGACCTTAAAGACCCCTCTTATAGATCCCTTTAAAGGAGCCCTTGGCAGACCCGCGGAATTACATCTCCACGAGGGATTCCTCTGAGGGCAGCTTCACGACCATGGAGACGCTTTCAGCACACCTTGCTTCCATTATAAGCCAGGGAAACAAAAGCGGGGTTTAGGATTCAGGGTTGAGGGTACTAAAATATATACACAAGTTCAAAGGTTGCGTATTGGAGAACTAAGACACTCAGGATCCTCAGGCGGAGGCTTTGAGGACTTGGACGCGCCAGGGTCCTCGGAGCCCTCGTGCAATGGCGACAGGTCGTCTGCCGAGCAGAAGTCTTTATCCAACTGAACCTGAAGCGCAGTTTCGAGCAGGTCCTGGGCATAGCTCATCAACTCATGGGCACTGTTGCCCGGAAGTGCGCCAAACCGATGCACCGTATTTTGGAGGTCATCGACTGACAGCCTCCACTCCTCGGCACCTTTGCTTGACAGCCCCTTGAGCTCCTTCATCCAAAAGCCGCCCAGCTTAGAATTGGAGATGGTCGCAGGCAGCGTCCGAGCTGACGCAGCGAGAGCACACAGAATGTCGAAGTTCAAAACCTCCTGCCCTTCAAAATGCGAGCCCCAAGTGTCCACAAACTCATGGTATGATTTCCTGACGGCATCCTGCTGCGTTGCAAGGTCTAATCGCAGCAGTTTTGCCAGACAACTGTAACGAAGGGACAACTCACCACCTGTCGTGATCACTTTCGGGCGCTGCATGTACAAGGACCAAATGTAGAGTAGACGCTCGTTGGGCTGGAAGAAAGGGAGGATGAACAGCAACAAGGTCTCCCTGAGCTTCTGGGCAGCACCGACAACTCTGTCAAAGACGTTGGGTCTGAAGGCGCTACGTAGCTGAAACTCCTCTTGGACGTGTTCAACCTTGTGCTCCTGTGACAAGATCTGAGACGCAGCATTCCGCACCACCTGCGCCATGATGTGTAACGACGAGTACACGACTGTCAGAACAAGCATCACCAACAGGGAGACGGCCCAAATCCAACAAACTTCTGCAGATGGAAAGAAGATCAGAAGCGAAGCTAGGGTAGAGAACAGGACGAAGCGAGTTGTCAGCAGGATAAACTCCATAAGATCCAAGATCTCAGACTGGCTGTTTGTGTAGGGCTTCAGCCATGTGGTCACACCGAGAAGCAAACCTGAGATCAACGGAAAGAGTACCAGCTTGGCATTGTCATCGTCCGCCAGTGACGTGTTTGCCACAAGCAGCATCAGCAACAGGTCCACTCTCTTGACGATGAGGTCCCAGTACCAGTACTGCGGCTCGAGTCCTTGAAAAAAGAAGCCGTATTTCCTGTAGCTGTTGGGATCCTGTCGATCTTGAAGCCTCCAGATCTTGAGGAAGAGCCAGAAAGGAAGACCAATGCACCAGAAGCCCAGTCCGGCAACAGCCAGGGCAGCCAAGGCACGGTGGTCTGCTTGCCAACACACCACATCCGGATGTGGGAGCAGGCGCTGCACATAGACCACCTCGCCGGCGCGTTCTTCGACCATCGGTGAGCAGCGGATGTGTTGCAGGAGCTTGGACAGTAAACTCGGCCAAAGCACCATCTGCGTCAACCAGATCGCTGGCATACTTTGATGTAGCAGCTGGAAGGGCCCTGGACGTTGAGTGAAAAATGCAAAGTCCAGCTCTGTCGCATCTTTGCTCGGAGTTGGCTCACGCTTCAACTCTTGGCACACGCCTGGGTGGTTGTCAAAATCAGGGTCCTTCTGTGGGTCCCTATTATAGTACGGCACCTACTATATGGGGCACCCGAAAAAGGGACTAAAACTTTGACAACCACCCCCACCTCGCATCAGCGCACTACACGCCTCAGCATCTTCGAGTGTAGCCCGGAGCTGCGAGCTGGACTGAGTAGTGCCGTTTGCCACCGCCGCGGCAACATCGATCACCGGCAGGCCTTCTGGGTTCCCAGAGAGCCCGATACCCCTTAACTAAGGAATATACCTTAAATTATAAGGGGCTTCATATGATGATTTCAGCTATATTCCCTAATTAAGTGGTATTGGGCTCTCTGGGTTCTTGCGTTTTGGGATTTGACTTAAGCTACTATAATAAGAAAAGCAATTGGATTACTGTAGATCCCTAATATGGTAACTTATATTGGGCGGTTGTCAAAACTGGGGTCCCTTTTGGGGTCCCTAATATAGTACGGCACCTAGTATTTAGGGTACCCAAAAAGGAACTATAACTTTGACAACCACCCCTTTGAATACTATATATCCCTATTATGGTAACTTACATTCTCTGAAGGAGCTACTAAATCCCATGATCCTCCAAGTAGACCCTAAATCCTACACCCTATAGTTCCCTTTAAGGAACCCTCTAGATCCCTCGCCCTCCTCCTTAAGTATTCCTTAACAACAACCCAGCCTTGCATCTTCGCCTCTTCCTCGAAGTGTCCACGCAGCTTCCATGCTAAGCTGCCAAGGACGAGGCGCTGCAGCACCTTCACGGGGACTCCAAACTAAGGGATACTTAGGGGCTTCCCTGAAGGGATCTATAAGGGATCTACAGGGTTTAGGTTTGAGGGGACTCCAATATCCCGTAGTTGAGGAATAGTAGAATATAATAGAATGGAATATTCCTTGATTGGGGGGGTATTGGAGTCTCTGGGCACCTGGTCGCTCAGGTTGCCATTCGCAGCTGCTTGCAGCTGCGAGTCTGTGCTGCTCCGGGCAACGACTTCGTAGGGAACATCCCAGAACTCTTCTTCCAGGGCTTCTGCAGATATCGAGCGCATGTAGTCTGAAAGCCGTGAATGGCCGACAGATGCTTCAGCCTTGATGGCCGTCGCGAGACGTTCTGCAAGAGATCTGCACCTCTGCCGCTTGCGGGCGGCGTCGTTGAAGAAAACCCCACACTTGCTGCCCACAGGGACGACGATGTACGCCAAAGCAGCGCAGAAAAGCAGGGTGGCCATAGCTGAAAGCAACGGAAGGCACAAGTGATATACAGCTGGCACAAGTCTTTTGGCTCCTGCATTCCCTGGAAACCATGCGTCAGCCTCACATGCCATGGCATACTCCACATTGACTGAAGGAATAATGTTCATGAGCGAAAACAAGCCGCTCATCAGGTCTGCCACCTCGGGGGGAAAGGGGAAGTTGAGTTGGCACTGACCACCAGCACAGTCGCTCAGGTCATTGGCCGGTCTCTGTGACCAAGGAAAAGCCACTAAGTGTTGCAACTCCTTAGTTGCTGAGCTCATAAGGCTCAAAGAGTGCACACTTTCAGTTCTAAAGAGAATAATACTATCACCAAAAGTGTAAAGTGCACTCACTCAGCTACTAAGGTTCAAACTCTTCAAGGATCGAGCAGGAGTGTCTCCAATGCAAGACAAGTCGAATCATAATTGAATGCAAGGCCAAAGTCGTTCCAGCCGCGCGTGCTGAAATCCACGCCATACCAAAGTTCAACACGGTCATCCTTGCCAACTCTGCCAACATGCTAAGGCCCAGCAGGGCAGAGCTGTGTCCGAAGCAGGGTTCACAAGGCTCGAGGTACCTTCCACGTGCAAAGGACTCTGGGCATTCGCCGCACAGGTGGCCGGCTGATCCTTCGGCGCACTCATTGGAAAAGGCTCCACTTGTAGAGCCGCCACGAACGCCGCCCCGGCAGACGCTGGATCCATTTGCCTGGCGGGCCAAGCATCTCACTGCATTTGTTAGCCCAGTGCGGAAGAAGCCCTCCTCTGCCCGGGGCTGGGCGTGGAGTCCCTGCTCGAAGCCGCCAGGGCATTCCAAGCCGGCATAAAAACCACAAGAGGCACAGCGGTCTAGGTTGCCGCTACCGTCCAGGATGGCATGGTGATCAGCCATACAGAAACAGTCGGCTAGTGAGGACGCGCTGGGCTTGCTGTCTGCATTGGCAGGGCACTTGGATGAGCAGAAAGCGTTCCCAAGGTTGGCTTTGTAGAATGCTCTCGGACATGGTTCGCACGATTCGTCTGAGGCCTTGTACTGGTGCCCAAGCTCGCAGATGCAGTCCTGACTTGAGCGCGACCCTCCGGCTGTCGTAGTGGAGTTCGCATTGCAGACCTTTGCGACTCCGGATCCATCACAGAAGCTGCCAACCTCGCAAGGTCTACACTGGCCAGCCTCGTCATACAGCCCTGCCTGACACCTGCACTGATTCGGCGACGAGGCCCCAGGTAAGAGAGTGGATTTCAATGGGTCGCACTTGACACAGGCACTGTCACCTACGGTGAGCTTGTACTCTCCCAAAGCGCAGGGAATACAAGCCCCTTCCAGGCGCTGAAAACTAGCATCGTAACCATAGCCTGGCCTGCAAATGCAATCGCTCGGCTGCAACACAACAGCTCCTGGTGGTTTGACTTCGTTCGGTGGACATGTGACGATCAACGAGGACACAGTAAGCTGTGAGATCGCTTCCACCTCAAATGCTAAGCCTGCCAAGCCCAAGTTGGACTGCAAGTCGACGCCGACACCATCGAGAATCGTGTCCACCTCCAGCTCCTCCGCTGACTCACTTGCAAGCAACTGGGAGGGGTACTTCAGGGCGACGCTGACGAAGCTGATCTGAGACAGACGCCTTGCAGCTGAAGCCGCCAAGGTGATATCGATGGCCGCGGCGGGCATCCGAGTGGATGTGGAGATGCTCCGACGAAGTGTTGAGATCAACTGCATGCGCATTTCGCTATCTGACAGATCACTCACATCACCCGAAACAATCCGAAGAGACAGTTCGAAGGCCACCGTAGCAATGCTTGATACGGTGTCATTGCCGGCGGCTACTTCAGCTGATAAAGCTTCAACTGTGACACAAGAGGAGTTGGAGATGGAACCCACCAGGTACGTTGTGAAATTTGCAGGGCAGGACGAGCATGCCGAACTACCTTCATCAGCTTTGTAGAACCCTCTCTTGCAGACAACGCATGTGCCAGACGAGAACTGATGGCCACGCGCGCACACGCAGTCGCCGCGCGAGGACGAGTTGGCGGAGAGGGTGGTCTCGCCGTCAGGGCATGGTACTCTGGCAGCGACACTTCGGCTGCCGCCGGGGCAGTAGAACCCTCGGCCACACAGACGGCATGGACTCTGCTCGCTGGCGTAGAAATAACCCCCAGGGCAGTTCACACTTAGCGTGCCCGCTGCGGCACGGAAGGAGGATAATGAGGTGCAGGCTGAGCCTGCTCCGCACCAGCATGCGTGGTAGACACCGGGGCGGATCTCCAGAGGAAGCTTTCCCAGGGAGGCTTGCAAACGCCTGCCAACTTCTTCCAAGCTCACTGGCTGTTGGAGCGCGTCGTAGCCAGGCAGGCCTACGGCTAGACTGACTTCAGGCGAATCACAGGCATGAGGTGTCAGGAGCAACTTGTCTTGATCCGTCAATGCCATCCCTGCCAACGACAGTGCACAAAGCTGCCCTGCGTTACAAGCCGTGCTCTGATCGAAGGGTCCCTGCACCACCATGAGGCCCACGGGCGCTGCGAAGCCGCTGGGCGTCTCACATGCCTCCGAATCCGGCTCGGCTTTGGGCCGGCAGAAGCAAAGCCGGAAAATCCCCGCCGGAGACTGCAAGATCTGCGAGGTGTTGGTGGCGTCCAGAAGCTCAAAAAAAGCATCGTCGGAATCATCGGTGTTAAGTTCGGCAATGCCACTGCCCGGGAAGCCTGGTACGGGGTATCCAGTGCCACAGGCAGTCAGGACCATGACCCTGTCACCTGCATGAGCACGAACTGACTGGATGTCCCTCAATGAACACAGCTGTCCAACTGAACAACTCACTTCTTGGTTCGCACGTGGTCCGTCCACTTGCAGGCTGCCCAGCGGAACAACATAGTCTTCTAACAAACAGCTATCTAAGCCACACCAGCAGAGATCGTATCCAACCACGTCAGCATCCAAGAATAGGCGATGGTCGATGCCTTCTTGCAGACGGGAGATGCCGAAGGAAAGTGCAAGACCGGCAAAGGGCTCATCAACTACCTCCAGGTGCGCCATTCCGTCTTTGTTGGCAGGAGAAACCGCAATGGCACGGCCTGCACTGCCTGCAGATCCGCAGCCGTCAGATCGAATCGAGACCTGGTCCTGTGTGGAGAGATCCACCCCTTGTACCGGCCCTAGAGCCTTGCAATCTTGTCCACGGGCACATTGGAAGAAATGATTGCTCAGGGGCCCGGACACCTTTAGCTGCCCGGCTGGGAACTGAAAATCTTGCAGCTCCGCACACATCCGATCGTGCATGTTCGGACACCAGCAGAGGCTGTAATAGCCGCCTTCCGGGGTGAAATCTGCCCCGGAATTTTCCCCCCAGACATAGAAGCGGCCCTCCTGGGTTGCTGGCTTGGATACCCCTGAATCGGGCACGTTTGGTACTTGAAGCGCCGTAGCGGTACAGCCAGATGAAAGCATCGCCAGTTGGTGGCCAGCTTGCAAGCTGAATCCGTTGAGGCTCACAGCGCAGACCTGGCCAGAAACACACTCCAGGCTGTGTGTGTCCAGTGGTCGGACACAGAGATCCAGGTGATTCGCTCCTTCGTCCTTTGTTATGGAACCCACTGGGCAGTCTTGGCATGCATCCGGTGAAAGTGCCCCTGCTTCACTGTTGAACTTTCCGATGGGGCATGGCTCGCAGGGAGCATCTGAAATCATCTTGTAGCTTCCAGCTGGGCAAGGGACGTAGTGGGTACTTGTCGTCGAGCTGGAGGAGCTTGTTGTGCTGGTGGTGGTGCTCTGGGTCTGCATGGACCAGAGATCATCCTGGCTCAATCCACCAGAACCCCAGCCACCGAGCACCCAGAGAACACCTGCAGCGATGACGGTGCTCGCGCGGTGGCGCCCCATCGGGACATCCGATCCACTCGACAAGACCTCCACCCACGTCAGCGTCGTGGCCTCGACATCGATGAACCATGGGACATTATAGTAACTGCCGTCGTTGGCTTGCCCACCGAAGATCCACATCTCACCACCTCTGAGAGCGGCACTATGTCCACTGCGCGGAGCAGGGCCCACCAATACGTACTGTGCCCAAACCATGGGTGAAGCGTTGAGGTCGATGGAATACAGGTCGGACAATCTAGTGCTCTCATCGTCCCCGCCGAACAACCACATCACGCCGGCGGCTGTGACGACAGCGCTGTGCTCTTTTCGCCAAGATGGCTCGTTGTAGCTAGAGTGGCTGGTGTAGCTAATGACCTGTGCCCGTAGGTCGATAGAGATGAAATGTCCGACATCGTCGGTGGAATAATACTCGCGGCACAAGTTACCGCCGAACACCCACATCACTCCGGTCGATGTGACGATGCCGCTGTGCTTGTTGCGTGGATACCCGTACCCTCCGTGATCTGTCCAAGCCAGTGACGAGGCTGAGAGATCAATCGAGTAGAGTTGGTTGCTCCACCCACCGCAATGCGGACCGTCACCATACCCACCAAAGAGCCACAACAGATTCTCCGTTACAACAGTGACTGGGTTGTAGAATGATCCCGGGCTGCTGACAGAAGCCTGCATCCACTCCATGGGCGAATCCTCGAGGCCAAGAGACCAAAGATCCCCAACGGTATTGCCGTCCCAGCCGCCAAAGATCCACATCGAAGCATTCGGCCCGAGGGCGGCGCTGTGTGCATTGCGACTGCTTGGACGAGGAACTAGGGAGGTTCTCGTCCACATCTCCGGCCTCTCCTGTGTGGCCCAAGTGCAACTGCTGGAGGTCATGTTGAAGGTCCACAGATCATTCTCGCGCTCATTCACCCATCCCCCAAAAACCACCAAGAGTCCAGATGTGACCACCGATTCGTGTTGCCAGCGAGCACCTGGCCCTTCAGGCATGGACAAGATGCCCTGACGTGGGGGGACAGCCTCAAGATCAATGCAAGACATCACGTCATGCCTTTCCCAGTAAGCCGTGGCCCCGCCAAAGAACCACAGGGCTCCGTTTGTGACAACGGCACTGTGACCGGCACGCGCCAGGAGGCTACCACTAGCCGGAAGCTCCGACCAAACCAGAGGTCGAGCCTCGAGGTCGATGGACCAGACTTCGCTCACTGCGGAGTTAGGCCCCTCGGCGGCAGTGAAGCCACCATGAACCCACATCACTCCGTCAAAAATGACGGCGGTGTGGGATGCTCGGCCCTCAGGCTCTCCGAAGGTGGATGCCTCTGACCACTGCAAAGCCTCCAGGTCCGTGAGGTCCATGGACCAAAGATCATTCAGGTAGTGAACCATTTCGAGCCCGCCGAACACCCACATCTTCCCCGAATTGATCACGGCGCTATGGCGATAGCGAGCACTGGGAGCTACAGACACATTGACCTCCCTCCAGCTTGGGGATGGAGTCTCGAGATCGATGTACCACAGGTCGTTCAGCCTATGACCATCAGCCTCGCCGAAAAAGCCACTGCCCCCACCGAAGACCCACATCAGGCCGGCAGGTGAAACCACAGCGGTGTGCCCTGTTCGGGCACTGGGTCGGCTACTGGGTGTTGTGACCTGCACCCAACGTGAGTGCCCCACCTGAACGCGTGTGTACCACAAATCGTTGAGTACGCCATGATCAGCCTCCCCGCCGAATATCCACATCACCCCTGAGGCTGTAACGACAGCACTGAGCAATTCGCGACCAGGGGGAAGCGGGATGGCCTCGACCACTGGCGCTGTCCATGGAATCGGAACTGCCACGATGGCAGCGCGCTTCACCCAAAGCCATACACTTCTGAACGTCGGAATATTGTCAATGCACGAGCCGGCCACAGCAGAAAAATAAGATGTCCAACCAGCTCCCATCTCGGAAGAAGTTGCTTGACCCGCAAGGCCAATCCCAATGGCAGCATCGGCATCATCACTGTCGTCGTTCTGGCACGTCTGGCTCAGACAGTTGAGGCAGAAGCCCCAACGCGCTTTGTTGCCGTCCGCACACTCAATGTTGAAGCCAGGTCTTTGCATTGGACAGGCCTGGTAGGAGCCCACAGGAACTCCAAAAGCATCCAGTATACCATCTCGATACACCGACTCGTCTCGGATGTACCCGGCCGAGAACAGCTCACGGGCACTTCGGAATCCCTGTGGGAAGTTATGTGTCACACATGCACCAGTAGGACTTCCAACGCACATGCGAATTGTAGTGAAGGGCTCGGAAAGGTAGGAGTCATACTTGGCATCAGTTTGCTCTTCGACCGGTGAGTCAGTGTTCAAGAGTTCGGCATTGGTCCAGAACTGAGATGAGAAGCCAAGCGTGTCACTTGGGCTCCCAATCTTTAACACCAGCGTCCAATTCGTCTCATTGACCACCTCATTTACTTCGACAGATGGCTCGACAAGGTTCGCAGAACGGAGATCATTCAGGTAAGAGCTGCCGTCATAGCCACCAAAGAGCCACATCCTGGGCTCTTGTTAGAGGAATTTAATTGAAGTTACAATAGTAAGGAAACCATATTATTTACTATGGATCCCGATATGGTAACTTACAAAAGGAAACCCTATTATTTACTATTGATCCCTATTATGGTAACTTGAATGGGTGGTTGTCAAAATTAGGGTCCCTTCTTGGGTCCCTATTATAATACGGCACCTAGTATTTTTAACGTACCCAAAAAGGGACCCCAATTTTGACAACGACCCAAGTAAACTCCCTTAAGAAGAGCCCCTTTAAACCCCCTCTTGGCATAGAACCCCTATAGATCCCCTTTAAAGGAGCCCTTTAAAGTATAACCCCTATAGATCCCCTTTAAGTAAGAGGAGCCCAGGAGCCTCCCGGAGGGAGCCAGGGCAACGCTGTGCCCTTCGCGAGGAGCCGGTGAAGCCGAAGAGGCCTTCGTCCAAAACCTGGGCGTCTGATCTTCAAGGCCCCTTTTCTGGGGTTCCTTTAAAGGGGTCTATAAGGGTACTATAAGGGATCTATAAGGGTACTCTAATGATGTAGGTGGGCTCTAGGACTTTACTTTAACTAGTTCATGGTTGGGGTAATATCAAAAATCTACATGTTTATTCCTTACTGGGTTTAAGTACCCATAAAAATGCAAAATGTTCCCCAACTATGACAAAGAAGTTGCCATAATAGAGATCTACAGTAAATAATCTGGTTACCACAATACCATAAACAGGTCTCTACAGTAAGTAAAATGGTAGCCATAATACCATAATAGGCATCTATAGCAAAGAATAAGTTTTCCTCATTATGGTAACTTAGACTTAGACTAAGTGACTAAGGTCCTTTAACAAGGGCCCAGAAACAGGTTTGTGGCCTCGAGGTCGATGAACCAGAGATCGTCCAATACACGGCTGCCGTCGTGCCCACCAAAGATCCACATCCTGGGTTCTGGTCGAGGAGTTTAGTATAAGCTGCCATAATAAGGAAACCTTGTTTTTTACTATAGGGCCCTGTTTATGGTATTGTGGTAACCAAAGCTTTTACTATAGAGCCCTTATGGTATTATGGTAACCATATTGTTTACTACAGATCGCTATTGTATGGCAACTGAAAGTAAATCCATTAACAAGAGCCCAGCATCACTCCAGCCGCTGTGATGACTGCTTTGGAGCCCTCTCGGCTACTCGGGCCAAGCTCCGTGATCGACGAGTCCGCAGCATCCCAGGACAAAGGCGATTGCTCCAAGCTGATGGACAGCAGGTCCTTGACAGCGGTTTGGGGTTTTGGTTTAGGGTTTAGGGTTCGGCAGGTCCTTAGTAGTTAGAATACAGTTGGGGGTATATTAGATTGTCATAATCATTTTTGGGAACCCCCACGAGAGTATTGTTAATTGTGTAGTCTGGGCAGCAGGTCCTTAACCGTTCCGTTTGGAGTGTTGCCACCAAACACCCACATCACATTCCCCGAAGTGAGGACGGCCGTGTGGTCCCCACGACCGCTGGGACTGTTCGATGAAGAGGCCTGTAACCAGGCTAGAGGTGCTGCCTCCAAATCGATGGACCACAGATCACTCAGATAAGCCTGGCCATGCCAGCCACCAAAAACCCACATCACATTCGAAGCTGTGAGCACAGCCGTGTGAGCCTTGCGCTCGCTTGGGCCAAGGCCCGGCAAGGCCGGGGCCCAAGCGCTCTCCCAAGCCAACGTTTCGGGGGCGGCAAGGTTGATGGACCAAAGCCCAACGCCGCCAAAGACCCACATCACCCCTGCCGATGTCAGAACAGCTGCGTGGCGCTCGATGCTTAAAGCGGGGAAGCTGGAGACGTTGGCTGGTGTCCACCGAAAATCTCCATCCTCAAGGTTGATAGACCAAAGATCAGTCAAGTAATCGTCGCCATGCCCACCAAGCACCCACATCACCGATGTCTTTATGACGGCGCTGTGGTGCCTGCGTGCGGGGATTATAGGCTCAGATTGCATCCAGACTGCCCCAGGTTGGCACAGGAAGCTCAACAGCAGGAGTAGACCCAATGGTCGCAACATCATGGGCCACCTCTTAGCCGCTGTGAAAGAAGGCGGCATGCTGATAAAGAGGCTGATCATAAGGACTCTGGTAAAGCGTGGTTCTCATAAGATGCTGCGTGTTCTTTACAGCCCTCAAGCTTTTGCTTCAGAGTTTACTTGTACCTCAAGATAAGGATGTGAACCTGACCGTGGGATTCGTGAGGTGTTCAAAGTACGAAGGTGCTCGTGGTCACATCCTGGCCCTTGACCCACAACGGATGCGGTTTTTAGGTTTAGGTTTTGGGATTTTGGGGCATTGATACACAAAGACAAATGGAGCAGATGCGAACTCAGCAGCCACTGCGCGCCCCTGGTTTCGCGTTGTCCAACAACCAGCAGTCAGCCACCACGGGTTAAACCTGTCTCTTTGGACCTTCAGTCTCCGCAAGTCCGGCCGAATCGAACACTGGAAGCTGGAAGTCAAGGACATGGCCAGTTTCACTGAGGGCTTCCTAAGATCATCCTGACCTCGCAGGGACATGTCAAAGACCGTGAGACGGAATAGAACTACGGTCCAAGGGGTGAGCATAAAGAGGTTTCGAATGCCGGACAGTCGGAGACAAAATGCGCTTGCAGCCGGATGCAAACGTGGAAAGACTCAACAGACAATTACGCCCCAGAGGAGTTGAACAGCAAGCAGAATGATAGGGCACAGCGTCCGCATGGGCACATCGACTATGGCCAACCCACCGAGCCTGGCCATGCATGACACGTAATACGTGTTCCGCCTCCATCCTTCCAGTCGCATGCTTCGCCGAGATCTGCGATCGCGCGCAGGATGCACAAAGTTGCGCACACGGACACGCATCAAGCAGGAAGGGATTCCCGGAAAGGACAAACCTCTAAGAGAACACGAAAAGTCTTTCGAGAAGGCCCGGGAGTTATACGGGCCTCGGTCTTGAATTGTGAAGGATCCCTGAGGGCTCCTTACATGTACCTCCATGTTATCCGGACTTGCAAATCAAGTCCTGCCCCATTGCAGCAAAACCCCTGGCTTCACCACCGCTTTCATGCGCTGGACGGCTTCTATTTCGGATATAGAAACGATGGTTGCGAAAGTTGCCAGACTGACACAAGCACCGACAGACGAGCGAGGAAAGTCCAGGGTGTCCTGGCCGTCCTGGCAACGAATGCATCCACAGACCGACAGACATACAGAGGCAGAGACGAAAAAGGCTCAGCAAAGCTGGGTTGCCATGTCGCCACCTTTTTTCGCCACGGCATGCGCATCATCCTCACTAGCTGGATAACAACGTCCGAAAGTGCTGCGGCACACCTGCAAGAAGACGGACGATCGAGGCACAACGGTGAGCTCTGTCAGCTATTGGCACCTTCACCATCCGCTTGGCATTGGCATCCTCGGATGCCTTGCAGGCAGGTTGCTCGTCACTGGGTTCGGGATTGTGGTCTGCAAATATGAACGCATGGAGGTTGTTCAAAATGACACTTCATCTGGGACCGGCCAGATGTGGAAACTTGCGCGTAAAAGTGTTTTCTGCTCGTGGCTACTTTCGCGGAGCTCTCCCAACGGTAACTTAGGGCCGTATATATATATATATATATACACACACTCTCTATCTACAGATACATATATACATGTGCATATGTATATATTTATACATATATATATATATATATACATGCATGCATGCATGCTAACCGCCCCCCCCCCCCGAGAAATACAGCGAGGTGCCACGGCTGCAGCCAGATGCTGCAACTTTTGGCTTGGTGCTCTACTGCGGCTTCCGGGTTCAGGTTTAGGGTGTGTCCCGCCCCCTGCTGCTGCCACCTGCCTCCTGTGTTGGCTGGGTCATCAGCTTATGGCGGCAGAACGTGTCGAGATCTTACCAACCATACATACATACATACATACATACGTATAGACATATATACATACATAATATGCACACAACAAGACATCCTTAGCTTTCGACCTTGCGCGTCCCTTGGTCCGCGCTTGCGCGTACCTTGCACGCGCGGCCTTTTCGCCTCCTTTATCATGTTAAGATTCAGCGCTTAATAAACACAAGCCAAGGGTTTTCGGACGCAGCTCTGTGTATGCGCATGTGTATTGTACCCCTCCCCTCCCCTCACTGACCCCTAATGCGTCCATCAAGCCTTCCTCTTCCAGTACGCCTTGCCCCGCGCCCCCGCAGGGGGTCCCCCGTCCACTGGGCTCCACTGGCACCCCTCCTCTCCACCAGGATCGGTCCCTCCATGAGCATGGTTTTGAGTATAGAAAAAGGTATAGGTATAGGTACAGATACAAATATATACATTGATGTAGATAGGTACAGATACAAAAAAACAGATATAGATGTAGATGTATTGTAATGGGCTGCCAGCTGTATCATTAAGGGGGATGATTTGGTGATAGAATGGTCGAATCTTGGTGGTTCTTTGCTGTTGCTGGGGCCCGGAGGCGCGCCCAGAAGGTTGGGGACCAATCGAGGACCAAAGATTTGCGCAAATTGTGGTTGTAGCCCTCTAACTTAATCACCCCCAAGTAAACAGCCTGCGGCGGATTACAATAGATATAGATGTGGACACTGATATAGATATTCGGGCTAGGCCTGCTACGGTTCAAGGCTTCAGGCTTGAATTGTCGAACCTGCGATTCGCGAGAGGTACAGTTGCGGGGATAGGAGGCTACCCCACGAAATCAAGAAAACTAGCCAGAAAAAACTCGCGAGCGCTACCGTTGGGGGGGCTACCCTAATAAAGGAGAGGAAAGTCGCCAGAAAAATTCGCGAGCGCTGCAGCTGGGGGGCTACGCCTCGAAAAGGAAAGAAGAAGGGTCGATTGATGTTGCTTTGTTTTTCTTGAGAGTGCCAGGACCGGGCCCTCCATTATGTAGTCATGAATTACGAAAGACATGGCTGCTTTTGCAGCGCCATTCTGGAGTTTTTCTGGTTGCTTGTCAGCGCCAATTCATGGTAGTAGTACATGGGTAAGTTACATATTGCAGATACAGAGGGGAGTGAGTGCGGGGGGTGTGCGGAGAGTAAGTGCGGGGAGTGAGTGCCGGGAGTGAGTGCGTGGAGTAAGTGTGGGGAGTGAGTGACGGGAGTGAGTAAGGGCATTGAGCGAGGGGAGCAAGTGAGCGGAGTGAGTGAGGGGAGTATCCTAGTGAACGCTAAAGCCCGTACAAATACTGCAAATATAAAGCCCTTTACTACACTTTTAGAGCCCTGATAGGATCCATACACATACAGCATGTACATCCATCCATCCAGCCATCCACCCATCCATCCATCCATGCATGCATACATACATACATATACTACTCACATGCACACATATGTATGCTTTCCTGGGCCCCCACACCCCCCCCAATGGTATTCCCCCCCCGTGGCTCGGGGCGGTCAGCCCGGAACGAACCCAGCTTCTTCGCAGAGCGGAGAACCGCATCAGAGCCGGGACAGGGGCACCATTTGCAAGGAGAGAAGAGCAACGTAACGATGCATTACTACCAACAAGCGGCCAAAACCATAACATACCTCTGTAGAACACACAGCCCCCCACAGGCGGAGCGGGGCCAACCTAATAGGCCACAGGCCCCACTCGACGGGGGGGGAGGGATAAGGCCAAATAAGACCATCCAGGAAGACGGGGAAAGCAACAAGGCCGCACAAGAAGACTACCCACTTGACAGGCAAGGGGGGAGGATACCATGGGGCAGGGGGGAGGGGCGGTGCAGCCGCCCCGCATCACGCTTGCCACTTTATGCATACATACATACATACATACATACATACTTCGAAAGCACAACGTTCCAGAATGCACAACAAACTACCCTAAAGTCCTAAAGTAAATGCTACGCAAGCTCGCTCGACTGTGACGCAAAGTAAACCCTGAAGTTCAGAGGCGCCTTTCTCACTGCATTGCAAAGTGCATCTTGAGGCAACATGATGTTGGCAAAGTCTCTGGGGCTCTGGGGACGCGTTATTTTCACACATACTGGCGTGCACCAGCAGTTGGAATCTTGCAGCATCTTGAAGCGTGCCCAGTGTGAATGATTGTAGTGCGAAAAACTTGAAAGCCCATTGTTAATACCAGACACAAGCCCGCATGGGGCCACACTGCCCCGCTACTGTATTCCTGGAAGACTCACGAAACACTGTATCAGCACGACGCTCTACGGGAAAACAAAAGACATGTCACGCAGCGCCCACAGTGCGTCCCCATGCCAGGGACCCACGAAGATGACTTAAGGTGAGGATGCTGGGATTGGTGACATGTAAGACTGCAATCCGCATTCTGATTGAAAAACATGGGTTTGATGTTGCCATGAACTACATCACGTGACTGTGCGATCGGCCTCCAGCGCACGGAAAAAACCGGCCGGCAAGTCTGCTGAGAAGCCACTGCGGCCTCCGGTGATGCTAACACGGCAAGCAAGATGGGACAAGCCCCATTAAATCATGAAGCTCAGGCACCGGCTCGAAAAGTTAGAACAAGCCGCATGTAACCATGTCATCCATAATGCCTCGTGGTGAGCCTGGCGCTTGTGCAAAAAAAACGAACCACATGACTGCCATCCGGTCAAAAGGTTTGTCTTTCCAAGGGACGGAGCTGACCCGGAGAAAATCGGTGTCCCAAGCATCGCGACCTCGATGGCAGGACTATGATTCTGTGAGACGGTGTACAACAGTTCGAAAATCCATGCTCGTAGTTGTCATACGGGCTTGAACAGAACACGCGTTCAGCGAGAGCGAGAGTCAAAAGCAGGCTTCCACATGCAAAGACAGCAGCACAGAGGTAGATCCTAGAACAGAACAAAAACAACCAGTAAAACCGGAAGACAGGAAGACAGTCAGTCGGTAAGAGCAATGGAAGGAAGCCACGACAAACACATCAAGCACAATGCGAAGACTCTCTCGAGCACAATGTAGAAGCTCAACTAGTGACGACAGAATCACAACTGCGCGGACTCCCACTCTGCCTGGTGATTGGAGAGGATTCCCGAAAGAAGTACCCAGAGACTCCAATATCCCGTAATTAGGGAATATACCTTAAATTGTAGCAGGGATCTTCCTATAATTTAAGGTATATTCCGTAATTAAAGGATATTGGAGTCTCTGGGTATGAGACGATCACAACGCACCCTTTACATGTTATCTTCGCAAAGGCAACTAGTTAAAGGATCATGTGACTTAGTAGCCAGGGTTATAATTAGGGTAACTATACTTATAACGCCAATGAAGGTACTTATAACATCTTATAACCTTAGTTACTAAGTCCCACGATCCTCCAAGTACCCGTCTTTGACGATGGAAAGATGAACCCTAAACCCCTAAACTCCTGAACCCCTAAACCCTAAAACCTAAAACCCTAAACCCTAAACCCCAAAACCCGAAACCCTAAACCCCTAAACCCCTAAACCCCTAAACCCCAAAACCCGAAACCCTAAACCCCTAAACCCCTAAACCCCTGAACCCCTAAACCCCTAAACTCCTGAACCCTAAAACCCTAAAACCCTAAACCCCAAAATCCCTAAAGACCGCTGTAAGGGGCTCACCATCCAGAAGCGAGGAAAAGGCTCCGGGCTCCAAGTCCTGCCGTTTTTTTTTTTTTTTGATGGCTTTTTTCCCTGCCGGGTTTAGGGTTTAGGGTTTGGGGCTTAGGGTTCAGGGTTTTAGGGTTTTAGGGTTTTAGGGTTTTAGGATTTTAGGGTTTTAGGGTTTGGGGCTTGGGGTTTAGGGTTTGGGGCTTAGGGTTTAGGGTTTAGGGTTCACTGCACAAGAGTCAAGCTCATAAATGCGGTGGCTTTCGCTGGGAGCCAGAAAACGCCCAGGCCCACCTTCATGTGCCACAGGAGCCAGGCAATCGAGCACGACACCTCCGAGCCACCTGCAGCGAAGACCCTGAGTTAGTTTAAGGGTTAAGGGTTAAGGGCTTAGGGTTTAGGGTTTAAGGTTGAGTTTGGCCTTCGGTAGCCAAGAATGCGTGACAACAGGCTAGGCAACGCAATGGCCCCCGGGAATGTTGCTCCAGCCTGCTCGCACATACCCATCTCTGGCAAGAGACTCTGCAACGGTCAACCTTGCTACAGAGCTACTTAAAGGATCATGGGACTTAGTAACTAGGGTTATAATTAGGATAGCTATACTTGTAACCCCAATTAAGGTACTTATAACCTTACTTACTAAGTCCCATGATCCTCCAAGTAGACTTCTTCTTGCACTTGACCAAGGCAAACTCTTCAGCGAATCTACCGGGCTTGGATGCATAAGCCGCTTGCGCTGAGTCGAGCTTCGTGCCGGATGCCTTCAGAAACAGACAGCTTCGACAGGATTCCACTTGCAAGAAGCACCAACGACCTCTGGGTTGCCTGAAGAGGCTGCCAAAGCTGCTGCAAGCATATAACCCGCAAGTGGCACGGCGCTTGTTAGAAAACGAAATGCGGGCCGACCTCCTCCTGCTCGACGGCCAGAAGACCTTGGCAAGACGTGGTGCAATAACAGTGTTTCAAGGCCGAGTTTCGGGATTGTCGTATGCCGAGCTCAATGCATGTGTTGAGCAATCGCAGCTGGGTCTTTGGCCTCTGTCGCCAATCCAGTCACCAGGAGCAGCGAGCCAAGCGTTTCTGTAAGATGAGGTTGCGGCGGTAACTTCACGCCCATGTGCACCGCATCCTGCTTCTAGGGCGAACAAAACCAGGCGGAGAAAGACGGTCTCACGCCAGGGGCACCTGAAATAAAACCAGAGCCTCCAGCAAGCCATCCTTGCGGAAGCCAGCACATGCACACCTTACACTTACTTAAAGGATCATGGGACTTAGTAACTAGGGTTATAATTAGGGTAACTATACTTATAACCCCAATTAAGGTACTTATAACCTTACTTACTAAGTCCCATGATCCTCCAAGTACCCTTAGCCTTTTCCTACCTTCCACATGAAAGCCCCGCCTGATCATCCGGAAGCGAAAGCATTGCCTCGATCGACAAGCTGTATAGCGGCGCCTTCATCGACTTCCACAAGCAGCATCACGACGTACAAGTCCCCCCCCATTGTCATGCTTCTGCGCGCCAAACAAGACTAAGACAATGCCTCCAACACGAAGCGCCAGTCCTCCCGCAGCTGTTTTGCGATGTCCTGACTGCAACCCATGTCTGCCAGAAGCCCTTCGTCTCTCCACATGGGAGTTTCCAAAAATAGGGGACCCTAATATAGTACCCTAAATAGTAGGATCCTTCTTATAAGGACCCCAAAATAAGGTACCCCTAATTGTCGGAAACTCCCACATAAAGCATGCAGTTCTGCGTTTGCTGCCCCCACCCTGACAACCAGGGGTTTGCCATCGTCCAGGAAATGAGACATGACCTCGAAGCATCACTTCTTGCAGAAACGGAGGATGTCGGGGTGACTTCTTAGGAGCACACAGCATAGACAATCGAGGCATCCTCGGGAATTCTGTGCAAATCACTTCCCCGTGTTTTGGCAGATCAACCGCAGGCACTTAAAGGCTCTAAGCTTGCGTCGGGTGGGTGTTCCAACCAGGTGCCATACAAGCGAATCAGTTCCAAAGCTTCTGACCTGCAATCTTCCGAACTTCTGTCTACTGAGCTGCATACCCCAGTAGACAAAGCTCCACGGTGACGAAAAATTGAGCCAACGCCACTCGGCTGGAGCTCGCATCGAAGCTGCCAAAAGCCGGGTCCTAACAAATCGAAAAGCGCAGGCCGAGGGAAATCGTGTCCATCGTACGTCCATGTGGGGGGTTGTCAAAATTAGGGTCCCTTTTTGGAGTTTAGGGTTTAGGGTTGAGGGGTTAGGGCTTTTTTGGGTACCCTAAGTATTAGGTGCCGTATTATAATAGGGACCTACAAAGGGACCCTAATGTTGACAACCGTCCATGCGTGCAAAAGATTGGGCGTCGAACGACATCTCTCGATGTTTCAACTTCACGCCAAAGTTGTAGAACAGGTTGACGGTCTGCAAGGCCTTGCATGGACGCGCTGGTAACGTTCGAAAGACAACGAACATGTGCCTGGATACAGCTTACGGAATCCTGTAGGTAAGGTCCTTTCCGTTTCCAAGTCCTTCTTGTTTTGCACCCCGCGGAGGATGTCGTACAAGCTGCGCACACCAACCTGTGCAAGAGTCGAATGCAACCTGCCGTGAAACACGACCAACGGCACCTTGGCAGCGGTGGAAAGTTTTAAAACAAGAACCTGCAAGTGGCCTGCTTGTGGTTCACCACGCCGGTGTAACCAAACTTCTGCTTTAGCTCCTTGCAAACCGAGCATCGACTTTCGGCGAGGAAAGGGTTGAGTGTCAGATTCAACTGGCATGAGCCTCATATAAAACTCGAGGGGCATCTTTGCCTGGCAGTCAAACATGCATCATGTTCAATCTCCATCCTGCACACGAGTCCGACAATGTCAACATGTCGGGTGATCTTACCCCACTGGCAGCTGTGCTGAAAGATCGCAACAGTCCTGGCGCCAGCTTCTCAGGCAGTCTGTAATCTGCACCAACACGCACGTCTCCTCCCCTTCGTGCGGCAAACGACATTGCACTTTTGCAGCTCGAAAACCAACTTACATTGTTTCGAAGTCATAAACGACGGTCCAAGAACTCGCAAGCATCGATCATAACCTTAAAAGGTATGACGAAGAAGCACCTTCAAACGCAGTAGACCCCGAGTTCACGCCACGATGCCTTTGATGTCTTTCAGCACCGACCTCTATTGTTTCCACGAAATGTTTTGACCTATGCGGGACTTGCTGTGGATGCATTTCCTTTGGAAGCTTCTTGAATCGTTGTACTCGGATGGATTTGGCTTGATCAAGAACAGCCAACAGCATGGTCGACTTTTCGAAATCTGTGTCTGGTGCTTTCTTACTTCAACATTCTTGAGCAAGAACTCTAGTGCGTTACGGTTCTGAGGCATCAAACCCACCGAAGCACATCTTTATCATGCACGGGCAAATTGCACGCCCGGCTTCATTTGGTCAACGAGTAATGCAAGGGAACGTGGCTGCTTCAGTCTTCAATGGTCTTGGATGACTTCTGATTCTGCACCATCCAGTGCAATCTCTTCACGGAAAAACAAAAATTATTTTGCAAAAGGGATCAGTTTTACGCCTTGGACATGGAACTGATTGTTAGCTTTGATGCTCAGGTCTTCACATAGTTCAAGTTTGTTCGAAAAGGTTCGCAACGTCCGACTGTCCGTCCGGGCAATCTTCTCTCGATTTCTTCCTTCCGTCGGCGTACTAAAATTCTGAAGAAGCTGGCCGAAGCCAGGTGTGCAAAGCTAGAATTGCTTTGGCCCTTGACGGGAAGGCCAAGATGCCCAATGAGGGCATGATTCTTTGTATCTCATAGCTTGTGCTTGTTCAGAATCAGTACGACCAGCAGAACGAATTGCTCTGATGACTCATTGGAGTATGTTGCAAGATTGGGTAGTCACTGTGTTGCTTTTGTCACGTTGCCTCTAACACGCTCAAATTTGCACTGTATGCTTACAAGTCTCGTTCGAGAATGTCTTGGCGTGACATATTGTAGGGTCGAAGTCCCGTCTCAGCTCGTATGCTTGCTTGCAGCACATTTTGCTGTTGCATTAGGGAAGCGGGAAGCCGCGACCAATTGATGGTCGCGGAATGGCAGCACAGCATCGCGTTGACACTTTGTCTCCGTGACCGTAACCGAGAACTCAGCACCACTGTTGGTTCTGATTTGGCAAATTTTCTTTATGTCCAAACATTTAAACTGGTGCAAGTTTGTGCAAGCATCCACTCGCATTTTACGGTTATTTGGCATGTCAAGCAAAACTGGCCCGGGAAGACCAGAGACCTTTGGGGTCCATAATGTACGGGGGCCATTTTTTTCAAAATGAACTCTCGCGCACAGTTGTGCGAGCGTCCTTTGCAACACATCCGACGGAGCAGCGATTGGGCATGTGTGTCATGTTTTCGAACGAAAGTCTATTGCATGATGGAAAAAGTAGCACAACCTTTGAACAATTATTTTTTGACAGGACAAAAAACGCCCTTGCAATGTTTTGTTCTCAAACTGAAAAACATAGCCATCTGAGGACACTTTGTTTTGTATCACTTCTTTTACATGAAGTCTGCGCTGTGCATGGTGACTCAGATTTTCTTGAGCAGCTCCTTTTGCAAGTCGTACGCAACATGAGTTTTGGAGGTTTTGCTTTGCTCTTTCGTTCAATGTATCGTTTTCAGCGCCCACCAATTTTTAACCCAGCCAAAACCCCTCCGAGAGTCCAGCGTGCAACCGGCCAAAAAATCGTTCAACTACATACAACACAGTTGTGCAGTGGTGGAGAGCCGAAGTGATTTGCATCCTTGTTTTCAATGCGTATGGAATCGCACCGCTTCTTAGCCTTCTACTGGCCTCTTCCCGAAGAGACTGATCTTTATGTTGGTACGTGCCGTCAGCGACGACACGTGCTTGCGGCGTCCCGAAAACAGAGTTGAACTGAAAGTCGAGCGTCCGCTCCAGCTGCCCACAGCAGCTCCGGTTGACAATTGGATAACCAGTCTTGCGCCGAAGCGGCCTTGAGCCAAAATCTACCCTAGCCTACATTCCGCTTGATTTGTCTCATGTCATAAGAAATAACTTCCTGCTGCCACACCTGCAAAAATTCAATTTGCTTGAGGTTGCTTCAGAAGTTGCCAAAATCTGTCAAAATGGCAGAATTCAGTTGGAATTTGTTGGAATTGCAATCTTCTGGTTGCCAACGCCAGACGGGTCAGACAGGAGCACCTATCCCTAAAATCCGCTGGTTTGGCAGCCTTTGTGTTCCGTTTCACTGGGGCCAAAGCACCGTTGCTGAGTGCTCAGTTCTGATGGCAGAATTTAAACACACTCAACAGAACAAGGCTCAGGCTCGCTTCAAGTTGCTGTTAGCCATGCACGTGCAGCTGCAAGGCGAACAGAAACCACGTCTTGAAACTCATAACTGCTGACATTGGTTCGATTGCAACCGCCAGTATAACAAGGCATTGTTTATGCTACCACGTGGAAAGTGACGGCAGAACCAAAGCTACATGCACAACTTGCTTCCATTTTCTCTTGCAGTCGGCAGTCTATCATGTCTATAACCCAATTATTTGTTTTCAAAATTCAAAACTTCAAAACTCAAGGTTCAAGACTTCAAGACGCAACATTTCAGACTTCAAGATTTCTAAGAATTCAAGACTTCAGCTTCGCGAGTTCTGGATTTTTGGGCTCCAGATCAAGATCAGGGCTTCATGATGCATTTTCAGTCTTTGAGTCTTTGAACTCATTCGACTGTTTGACTTGTTTCAACAGAACTGAAACACATCGCGCGTCAGAAACTGGAACCGAAGGACCAGGCGGGCCAGGAGGGAGTCACAGGGAGTTGGAGGGAATGACCGGTGCCACCGCGCAGTTTCGTCGTTCCTAAATGATAGACTCTGATTATGATGATCGGACCATCTGGTGGACAATTGACGTGTAAATCATAAATAACATGTAAAATTATATAATAAGCTTGGTAACATTTGTCGAAAAACGAAAAGAAGTCATGGATCATGGCATCATGGCAATGGAGCAGTCATGGCACTCCTGACAAGCAATGAGAGAGAACCTCACAAACAATCAAAAACAGTTCTTATAAAGTTGATAGAACTTGAACTTGAATCTTGAAATCTTGAAATCATGATCATGATTTGAGTTTTTCGTACAAGTACTTCCTGAACCATTGAATCACTGAGCCCGTCTTTCCGACTCCACGGCCCGGGCCCTCTCCGGCAAGCTGAGGCTTCTCGCCTTTTCGAGACAGCTACACTGCATTAATTCTCTGTTTTGGCTCTCCTAGAGGAGTTCTTGAAGCTTCCAAAGGCCAAAGCAGGGGAAGCCACATGCAACTGGGGGCAGCCTTCGCCAAGCTTGGGCCACGCTCCGGCCAAAAGCACCCTGGTATACTAAAACTCCTCAGCACGTCCGAAACAGGGAGAACCTACAGGACTGACACAGCATGGTTTCCAGCAACACCGCCACACAAGTGTGTGTGAAAGACACAGATCACCTTCTCTCAAACTCCATCATGCAATGGACTTGATAAGAGCTTGTGGGTTCGGAGCATCGGTGTGAAACTACCAACTGCAAGAACGTTCGTCTCAGTTCAAGAGCAAGACCAATCGCATCTCGCACAGAGATGGAACTCCCTCTTGACCAGTCTACGCAACGGTATGGCTCATTTAATGCTCGATCAAAGGCACGAAACACCTGCTGAAGCTCTTAACATGGTTTTGACGTAACAACCGCAGTGCTTCAGCAATGGACTGCAAGTCCAATCGATGGCCTATCAGCTCTCCTCGACAGTGGTCAGTGCAACATTTTTTGGCAACGCAAGGCATCGACAAGCCACAGACTTTGAGTGTTCCAACTTTCATTTTGGAAACTGGCAGACGTCTCTGCGTCCGGCTTTGGAAAACAGCAGCCGTGCAAACATTGTGCTTCAAGCATGGAGGCTTGAGAAAGCAGCAAACCTCTCCAAGAAACAAAAGGATACTGAGAAGACAGAACCAGAGCCTGACGAAGCAGGAGTGACGAAAGCATGTGAAAGTCTGCGAGTTCACGAGAGGAAGAGCATCCGGGATGCCAAAGAAGGAAATCCGGAGATTCAGCTGAAAATGCTCGGAGAGCGGTGAGAAAGATCCGACAGTAAAAGCTGCACTGGCAACTCTAAGCAGACCGTGTCTGCGAAGTTTTACTCGTTGTTGCTCATGGTTGAAAGATACCAAGTAATAGAAGTGAACCAGTAGAGTGCAAAGGAAAAGGATGGAAAGGAAAAAGTAATGGAAAAGAAAGAGGTAAGAAAGACTGTGTAGAAGTGCCAACACCACCGAGCCAAAACCGCATTTTCAACCCAATGAGTTGAGATGGAAAGTACCAGGCACACGAGCAGACCTGATCCGAGAGTTGTGACAAGAAGAGTGAAAAGATTCAACCTTCAGCCCTTCTACCACAAAGCAACTCCACCAGAAGAATACCTATCAACTCAAAAAACGGACGAGGAAGAAATCGACATCACGTACACTCGGACAGTACGTCTGGTGCGAAAAGTTGAAGCAGAGCTGAGAAGGTGATGAAGTCACCAATCCATTTTTTCGGCGAACCCAGTTCTGAACGTGAAGACGCCAGGTTGCAGTTCACGCCTGGAACCGGCATGCAAACGAGTTGCTACTAGCAGACAATGGGATTCCACGAAGACATTATCCAAGAGAAGAACACTACCAACGGCAGCAAAGGAAATTGAAGCGTGAATTTCATTGATGTAGCAGAGTGGTATGTGATGGACGCCACGGATGAAGGTGGCGATTGGTTTGTCTTGTTGGAGGATGCCCAAGGAAATTCAATCAAGTCAGCAGGTATGGTCACTGCTGTGATCTCTGTGGAACAGAGAGGACTGTTGGACAGCCCCTAGTGTTTCGGAAAGCTTCATTGTGAGCGATGCAACAAGCATTCTGTTGTCAATGGGAAGACTCTTGAAGAATGAGGGAGAGAAAGCTCTTAGTGCT